TATTTTAGTGGAAAGGTAAGACGAGCCCTGCACGGGTGGAAACGGGGACTGACTGCCGCAGGCACTCGCCAAGTTTGCTAGTCTCATACTGTCTATCCGGGAGTTGCTGGGAGATCCGGGGTTGGCCCAGGCCGGGTTGACGAAACTGAAAGAGGCATTCTCCCGTTTTACGCAGAACGCCCAGAAGTACCCCCTTGTGTATGAGAGTAAGTGGTTAAACCTTCAACACTAGACGGTTCCCCTATCTGACACGGCTAGGCTGCTGGGGAGGTGTGGTCTCGTCCGCCACGTACGTGACGGGCGACCGCTTTGCCGACTTTGGCAACACCATCTATAACGACCACCACTTCCACTGGGGCTACTTCATCTACACGGCGGCCGTCATCGGCCACCTCGACCCATCGTGGGTCAACGGCAACAAGGCCTACGTCAACATGCTCGTCCGCGACGTCGCCAACCCCAGCACGCAGGACCAGTACTTCCCCCTCTGGCGTAACTTCGACTGGTTCCACGGTCACAGCTGGGCTCACGGGCTCGCCGACGTGCTCGACGGCAATGACCAAGAATCCAGCTCGGAGGACACCATGCACGCCTACGCCCTGAAGATGTGGGGTTCCGTCACGGGCGACAAGAACCTAGAAGCCCGGTTCGTTACCCTCCCCCTCCCCCTCCCCCCATCCCCTCCACCGTTACTAACCCACCACACCAGCGGCAACCTGATGCTCTCGGTGCAAGCCCGCTCGATGCAGGCGTACTATCTGTACACTTCCTCCAACACGGTGCAGCCGGCCGGGTTCATCGGCAACAAGGTGGCGGGCATCCTGTTCGAGAACAAGATCGACCACACGACCTACTTTGGCAACCGCACCGAGGACATCCAGGGCATCCACATGCTGCCGCTGCTGCCCCACACCCCGCTCGTCCGCACCCCGGCCTTTGTGCGCGAGGAGTGGGACACCTACTTCAGCCGCGGCCGCGACGCCCCCATCGTCGGCGGCTGGCGCGGCGTCATCTGGGGGAACTATGCCACCATTGACCCCCGTGGTGCGTACTCCTTCTTTGCGGCGGCGGGGTTTGATCGGGCTTGGTTGGATGGTGGTGCCAGTTTGACGTGGTATTTGTGTTATTCTGCTGGTGAGTTGTGCGCTTCTTCTCTTGCTCCGGTTGTTGCCTGTGAGGACTGTGGATATGGGATGCTGACTCGGATGGCCGGTAGCTTTGGGCGGGCTTTAATAGGTAGGGTGTTTGGATGGGTTGCAGAAATGGGTTGGGATAGATCGGTCTGCCGCTTACCTAGGTACTTTCTTCTAGTATATATGATTTTGAATACACCACTGAGAGAGAACATCATAAAGCCCCTTCTCCCACCCTAATTGTTTGAGTGCTGGAAGTCACAATCAACCTCCGCATTAGAGCCTGGCTGGAAACTCAAGGCCAGCCTCGGGAAGAAACGGAGGGCATTCTGGATTCCCCCAGTGAACTGAGTCATAGGTATTCTTAATCGCCCCAGTCTCTAGACTGGCAGGAGCCTCGTGTCATTTCAAGGGCTCTTCTCACCAGAAAAGCAGTGGCAACTGGTAAAATACAAATCTCAGTTGTTGACTCCAACTGAGATTGTTTACTGTGATCACATGGGCAGCTCTGAGTCATATAACGCACGCAATTGGAAGTCAACGGGTTCTTTCGGGTCCGATACTCGGTCAGTGTTTGCCGTAGTTTTCGTCGCTCCTTCCTTGTGTGGAGGAGGTTTAGGGCGAGGTTGAGGATACCAGCAAAGACAGGTTGCGATCTTCAGTGTGTGTATTGCTTGGCGGTTGCGGTTGTGTTGGTTTGTTAACAGAAAGTGACAGTTAATAACCCAGATCTTGCAATGCTGTTATCATGATTCTTTTAATTCGATTCAAATTGACAGTTTGTTGTGGTCGGTCAATAACTATTTATATTGCTTTCAGCCCCAAACCCGCCGATTCGCACCTGCCGCCAACTTCCGCAGCGGGTAACTGCCGGGCCCGAACTGGCCCACCATCAGGCACCACTGCGCCGCGACTTTGCATCCGGGTTGCGGAGCCGTACCCTCATATCTTTTCAAAAAGGGTGACACAACTGGAGGGCATCGTATGGCCTGTACCTTTCTTGGACAGCGGCTGGAAAGTCAGGTTCAGATTTGGGTTCGGTCTCCTATGGCCCAATTTGGATCAGCCTTAGACGCTAGCAAGCACAACTCCGCAAGCCCTGGACTGTTTCACCGATCACCGCATTCCCAGAACACAGACACTCATCGCCGACTGGACGGTTCGATAACTGGGCAGCCGACTCTGCCACTTCAAGCACCGGGCGGCGCCAATTGGGACCTGCGTTGGCAGGCGTCCGCTTCCTGCGTGGCCTGGCACTCGCACCGAATCACAGTCCATATTCCGGGGCGATCCAAACCGACCTCCCGCTGCAGTAGGGCGCTCCCCCCAGAGCTATGCGAAGGCGCTCCGCAAAATCCATCCACTCACTCAGCCTCGCCTTCTTGAGGCTCTCTTGACTTGACCTTTTTCTTCCCCTCTGCATACCTTCGCCCCCTGCCCCGTCCTCGGCAATTCTTCTTTTTTTCTTCCGGCCGTTGTGTCACATTCTGCTCTACCCCTGGTTTGAGCTGAGCTGATGCACTGCCGCTGATTCAAACCACGGACTCGGCGCCGCTCCACAACAAACTCCCCCCTCCCGATTCTGCTTAGCCGCTTGGCCTAGCTCACCCTTGTCCCATACATCCCACTTCTTCAACCTCTCAGTCCTGATGTCGTTCGAGTCGAACGGCAGCCAGTCGTCACAGACGCAGCCGATTCCGTTGAGTGACTTCCTCAGCATCCACGATGATCACCACTTCGTATGGGACGACGCAGAGCGGGAGGTGTCCGACGAATGGTTGGCTCCGGTCGAGGCAGCCTGCCTCGACCCCAAGAAACACAAGGTATTCCACCACTCTGGCAAGGAATATCTCAAGCCCCCAAGCCCGTTCGTACAGCAGGGCCCGGAACTTGGTGACTCGGGTTCAACCATCGTGTACCGGGTCACCCCACCAGAGGGCTATGCCTATCGCCGGCCTCTTGCCCTCAAGGTGATAGTTTGCAAGGAGAACTCGCGGCCGCCGGGGCCAGACAGCAGGGCACGCAGCGATGCCCTCAAGGAGGTCCGCACCATGTCTTCGCTGAGGCACCCGCACATCGTCGCATACGTGGCATCGTTCGAGGATTACTGCATCCAGACTCGGGAGATCAAGCGACGGCCAAGAGGCAAGGCCCACGGCACGCTGTTTAAGGTGAACGATCGGATCAAGAAGCACATCCTCGGCATCGCCATGTACCCGCCTGCGCAGTGCAACCTGAACACCTTCATGGACGAGGTTATCCAGAGCCCCAAGGAGGCTGACTGGATCCTGCCCCATCTCCACACGTTCTTTGGCTGCCTTGCGCAGGCGGTAGCATACCTCCATCGGCGGAGCGTGCAGATCCGGCACAAGGATATCAAGCCGGACAACATCGTCATCGACGACTTTGGACTGCCCGTGTTGACCGACTTCGGCCTTTCCAGACACTTTGAGAAGGGCCAATTCTCGGAAGGCCCGACCCCGAAGACGTTGAAATACGCCGACCCAGAGGCAATACATGAGGACCGGCGGGACGAGCACTCCGATATCTTCTCGCTGGGTTGCGTCTTCCTCGAGATGGCCACCGTCCTCCTCGGCCGACCGGCCAGGTTTGCCGAGGAACAACTCTCCCTAAACATCAGCAGTGCCAGCAGTGGCAGCGATGCGCACTCCATCTCTTCCTCGGGCACAATAACGGGGGGAGGGAGCGCCGAGTTCAAATACTCAGAATCCCTGCACAACCTCGACAATTACCTAACGACGCTGACCCTCCTCTCGCGCGACCTCATCGCGTCGGACCCGTCCCGCGAGGCGTCGGTCAAGGCCGTTCTGGCCACCCTCCCGTACATCCGCCGCATGATGGACGAGACGCAGGCGCGCCGACCCGAGGCCCACCAGCTGTACCCGTGGTTCCGTAACCTATGCGACGTCTACGACACCCCCGGGCCCTGTCCCAACTGCGAGGAGGAGCGGCGGACCGGGAGGGCGATTCCGAGCCGTAGCGGGAGCCGCAGTCCAACGCTAAACCGGAGTGGGACGGCCGGCACCGCGGGGGGCGGGAGTGCGTTTTCGCAGCCGCTGCCGAGGAGGGGAACTGCCGCGTCCATGGCGACGACTATATCGATGTCCATGACGGGGTCGCAGGCTTCGCAGTGACCCAGAGGATCGTAAGCGGATGGAAGGCTGGAACTTGACTGAGGCGGGGGGGACGACGGGATCTGGGTACTTGCATGAGTGAGTGCGTTACTGTTTTGGGGGCATGGCGTTCAGCTTGGGTTTCGGGAGTTTATTCCTTTTCGCCCGGTTGCACCATTCGGTAGCTCTGGGTTTGGCTCTCCCCTCTGTTTCCAGTATGGACGAGCATTGTTCGGTTGCACAGCACTGAGCGGCGGCGAGCGAGCATGCATATGGCGGTGGCGACAATCTTCTTGGGTTGGCTGGGTTGGGTTGCTTGGGGTGGTAAACTCCTCCAATTTAGGAACGGGCTGGGTCCCTGGGACGTATGGAGGATATATCATAGCTTTGTATGTGTCGGTTTGAGGAGTGACTGGCCGTTGCAAAATCAGGCCAAGTGCATAGGTAGTTAACTACCTGGGGAGATGAGTCGTCCATGGGGTTACACATACAGAAGGCTCATTTTTAGATCGGACGAGGAATAAACAAAATATCTCCCTCATCACCCAATTCATCCAAAAATCCTGTGCAGTGACGGAAGGAGGGGCTCTGGGATGGAAGGCACAAACAAACAAGTGCCGCAACTGCCGACTCAATCCACAGAATAATCGGCTTACCTCCAAACAAACAAAAAAAACATGGGAAGAACTAAACGCGGGCAAAAAAGAGAGGCAATCGAAGTTGCCGGGAATTGAGCCCGACGTGGGGGTCGAACCCACAACCTTGAGATTGTGAACCTTGCGATGGCGAACCATAACTAAGAGTCTCACGCTCTACCGATTGAGCTAGCCGGGCAGGCTAGATTCATTTGTTGGAAAGAATTGGTGGAAACCAGTGCTGATATGCAGAACTGCAACGGAAATCCAAATGCAGTAACCCGACATTCTTCCCTACCTGTAAGTCGTGACCCCGAAATAAGGCAAACAATTATTTAGCATTGGTGAGATCGACTTTCCTCTGAAATGAGAATGCATGTTGTTATCCACACGGCAAAGATTGTCAGCCAAGATAGAAATGGGACCCGAACACTGTCCAGAGCATGAGCTGCCAAAGAATGCCCCCCATACTGAACACATTTGCGATTATCTTCCTCGGCTGTATTGCTTGCTTTTTCTTGTTACCTTCTTTACCTCGGGTAGTTTGCTTCTCTCTACTACTGCCCCAGCTGAAGCCTGAAATCATGTGTGAGTCGTCCTATGGGTGACTAATTCAACCTTTGCGAGTTAACCAGTGCGTGACTGACAGGAAATCCAAACCGAAGCTTTCAGTGAGTCTCTGGGAGGATCTAATTTCCTTCTCTTTTTGTAATTTGTATACGTAAAGTCATTTTCTCGGCTTTCCTCAAACAAACAAAGTAGGTTTCCACCGCATACTCGGTACCTACCTGACTGCTCTCCCCACATGTTAGACTTACTCCCCCGTTACCACGTGTCTGGTCAGGGGCTCTTCCCCGTCACATGCAACCTCACTTTTTTCGCCCTTATCTTCAGTGGATTGCTCAATCCCATCTGCCACAGTTGTCAGTTGATTCTAATAAGTCCCGAGATGCCTGGGCAGTGAGTTGGCCCCGATCTATGTCTAGGCCGCTGGTTTCTGAATCGTCGGACTGAGACAGAAAGCTCCTCGGTGGAGAGAAGTCGAGTGGTTCTAGGCTGGGAGTGACTCGTCCCGCTTTAAACCTTTTCCCCCAAGGCACAACCCTGACGGCGCGGGTTCGGGGGAGCCTCTCCCGATAGCAGGGCCCTGTCTACGTGGATTAACCTGGGCAATCCCGAGTTCTAGCCAGCCCTCACGTTAATTGCAAATTTGCCTAGAAGCACAAAGGTTCGCACTTCGCAGGTCAAGTGACCGACGAAGGAGTGCGCTGTCGGCTGTGCAGCGCGATCGGCGGGGTCTAGACAGCTCGGGGACCCAGTGTCCTTTTACGTGCAGTCCATCGTTGCATCCAAACTCTCCATGGCAATCACAGGCTCAGGGGTATCGTCTCAATCGAAGAGGGGCTGCATCTAACCGCATCTGATCCCTGAACTGGAATCGAATTGATCAAGATAATTCGGTGGAGAAGCGACATCACTTGGAGAGGACAAAAGACGATGCCTTGATCGATGATGAAGTCGTCAATCGGAGCTTTGGCCCGGCTTACTCTACATGACGTTGTACTGGAATCCTGCTGTGGGCGCAAAACGACGATCAGAAATGCCATGCTCGCTCGAGTCGCGGTCGAGGTTCGAGATCACTTCGAGCGGAGCATGCGCGGAGTCCCTGGCGGGGTGAATTGCGGGGTTCCAAGGCAGTGGGACTCGGTGGGCTTTGCTTCCCGTGATCAAAAGCAACCACCCCCCACGACGGCTGTCACCCCGCAAAAAACCCACCAATGGACAAGACCGAGGTCCTGCAGCATGCAACCGCAAAGCGCCTCTTTCAGCCAGCAGCAAAAAAATTATGCCGGGAGGCACGCTGCGACCAGCACCCCTAAACGACGCCGTACCGGCACTTTGACTTAAAAAGACCGACGCCGCTGCAATGTGCGCGCTACCGCTGAGAGGGACACCCGCCCTTCGTAGAGCTGCCTCAATTAGAGCGAGTGTCCCGTGGAACGCCGCATCGCCACTTGTAGCATCACAGCGGAGCAGCGTCTGGAGGAGCTGCAACAGATCGAAGGTCGCTTTCTTCGCCTTCTCCCAGCTGACACATCACAATCTCTGTACGAATAGCTAGGGCCACGCCTTGGATGACGTACCCCCCTCATCTGTCATCCTTCCCGATTCTGAAGCCCCCCAAGCCCCGCGCCGGCACTCTTCTTTATCAGTGCTACGCCGTCCGCGGTTGCACCCGGCCATTGCCTCGACCCGGATACAAAACCAACAACCACGCCGTCGCACTTTCCAATCCATGAGCCACCCACCAATTACACACCAGTCTAAGGGCAAACAGCACCAAAACACCATGGTCCACGTTCGAGAACTCGATCCAGCACGGTTTGAAGAGGCGCTTGTTAATGGCGGTCCTAGCCTTAGCCTGGACGGCCTGTTGATAAAGCCCACTGCCGCAACACCTAGGAGGCTCCCCGACAACGACGACGACGACGCCACCAACTTCCAACCGCATCACGAGGACCATCTTCCCCAGGGGATCCTCGAGACGGAAGAGGAAAAGAAGCAGCACTGGTTCGTCGGCAGCATCGACCAAGGCACCACATCTTCACGTTTCCTTATCTTCAACGGCGAGGGCGATCCCGTTGCGAGCCACCAAATAGAGTTTGAGAACCTGTACCCCAAGTCAGGGTATGTTTGCCCGGCTACGACTCCCCGCCCCGCATTCTCTCCACCTTTGCCTGCGGAGCTGCTGCACATCCTGCACATCAACGGGGCTAACAAACGTTAAACCATCCAGATGGCACGAGCATGACCCGCAAGAACTTGTCAGTTCGGTTGAGCGATGTATTTCAGAGGCTATGCGCAAGTTTGTCGACCTGGGCTACTCCAAGTCAGACATCCGCTCAATTGGCATCACCAACCAGCGCGAGACCACATTAGTGTGGGACCGCTTCACCGGCGAGCCCCTGCACAATGCCATCGTTTGGCCCGACACCCGGACGAGTGCGCTTGTGCGCGAATTGAAGTCGCGCGATGGGTCGGACGACCTGATAGAACTCTGCGGCCTGCCCCTTTCAACATACCCCAGCAGTGTCAAGCTGCTATGGCTCCTCCAAAACGTTGACTCCGTCAAGCAAGCGTACGAAGAAGGCCGCCTCGCTTTCGGCACGGTCGACTCCTGGCTCATCTATAAACTCAACGGCGGCGCAAAGGCCGCGAAGCCCGTCCACGTCACCGATAGCACCAACGCAAGCAGGACCATGTTTGTCAACCTCCGCACCCTGCAGTACGACGACAAGCTCCTAGGATTCTTTGGTATCGACAAGTCCAAGGTCCAATTACCCAAGATCGTTCCGTCTTCCGACCCAGAATGTTTCGGCAAGATCGCCAGCGGGCCGCTAATCAATGTGCCCATTGCCGGGTGCCTTGGGGATCAGTCGAGTGCCCTGGTCGGCCAGTGCGGCTTCAGTCCAGGGCAAGCCAAGAACACGTATGGCACCGGGTGTTTTCTCTTGTACAACGTCGGCACCGAACCCGTCATCTCCAAGTCCGGGCTCCTCGCCACCGTGGCCTACGACTTTGGCGGCGGCAAAAAGCCTGTGTATGCCCTCGAGGGCAGCATTGCCGTTGCTGGCTCCGGTGTCAAGTTCCTCATGAACAACCTCGGCTTCGTCAAGGACTCGAGCGAGATCAACTCCCTGGCGGAATCAGTCCCGGACAACGGTGGCGTCGTCTTTGTCACTGCCTTTAGCGGACTCTTTGCCCCGTATTGGATAGACGACGCCAAGGGAACACTATGTAAGAAGCCACCTACCCACCCCCTCGTGCTTGGTTTGAATCTAACGCCTTCGCAGTTGGTATCACCCACCACACAAACAAGGGCCACATCGCTCGAGCCACTCTCGAAGCAACCTGCTTCCAAACCCGCGCCATCCTGGATGCGATGGAGAAGGACTCGAAGCACAAACTCGAGTCGCTCGCCGTCGACGGCGGCCTCTCCAACTCGGACCTGTGCATGCAGACCCAAGCCGACATAACCGGTATTCCCGTCGATCGCCCCGCCATGCGCGAAACGACAGCCCTCGGCGCCGCCATCGCCGCGGGCCTCGCTACGGGTGTGTGGCGAACGCTGGAGGACCTCAAGGAGGTCAACCGGAACGGACGCAAGATCTTCCAGCCGCAAATGGAGAAGGCCAAGGCCGAGAAGATGTTCAAGAGGTGGGAGAAAGCTGTCGAGATGAGCAGGGGGTGGGTCCAAGAAGAATAGAGGGAGCCTGCCGAGGCCTCGGTCACTTTTTGGCTTTTGTTATGATCATGACACATTTAGCGGGTTAGGCATGGGTTTGGGATTTTTATTGCTTCTACTGGCGTTGGCTGTCTGGGCTAGCGTGTCTTGATACCTTGGGTCATCACCATCGGTCGAATTTACGCCCCAGCGACTTAGCGGGTGAAGGGTTGGGAATTGTATAGTACCGGATAGTTCTAATACCCTAATAGACTTTGCCCTGAGAACACTATCATGCGACGTTTTTCTTCTAGAGTGAGACCAATGCTCGATTCGTGGTATCTAAGGTTTGTTTCTACCTGTATGTTTGCTCTCAACAGAGAGAAGATGACAGAGGTGCATCACTCGTGGGAAACCATTTTCCATCCTCGCCCGGAGTCTTTAGTTCTATCTCTTCATAGGGCAAGTTGCTGGGCTAATACACACCACAGCCCTGTTTCATGCATTCTCAGGGGTAAGCTTTGGCCACTGTTTACTCTCAAGTCGCCGTCAACAATCGAAGCTTCTTGTCCTATATCCCACCACCTGAGACAAGCAATTACATCCGCCACAATGGAAGCTCCGCTCTTAGAACCGGCTATGCTCAATCTTTAATATGCCGCCAACAAACGTTGCCTGAAGTGCAACCCCGGGTTGTTGTTCATTCGCCGGTATATCAGAGTCAGACCAGACATATTGTACGGCAGACAGCCCAGCCCGTCGACGGCAACATCGCCATCATCAAGGGCAGAAACCGCCGCTTCGTACTAGTTATCTTCCAGGCAAGGAAACCATACGGTGTCACCATATGACGTTTCTGTTCCCACTCACGATCTTCGGGGGTGTCGACATATAGACACAGCAGGTACTCTGGCGATCGCAACATGACCGGGCGCTCCCGTGGCTGGCTCCGGGATGACGTCGGGCTGTCCTGG